TTTTTTTGACTAGTATTGGGCCATTTCTAGCGCAAACTTAAAGTATGGCGCAAACACAAAGCTGTCGTACGAACTACAACACAATCACAAAATAATCTTATCTCGGGCTATGACGAAAACACAAAGTTTCATGCCTATGAACTACGTAGTGCCATTTAAGATAATAATAAAAAAAAGTTCGTCCCGCCAAAAATTTTTTAGATCGACGTAAATTAACTAATCGCATGAATGTCTTCACAGAAATTTTTCTTCCGACCATCAAACCTGGGGCCTAATTAAAGAAATATTTTTTAACGTTCGTTTAAAATGTGGTACGCGAAAAAATATGATCCTCTCCAAGGTATATAGGCAAATTCTAGAACTTGTTAAGTTTCTATTTTTTATTACATTAACACCTACGTCTAAATAGCGGGTAGTATTAATGGAACAGATACGGTACCGCACGATCCCGGAATTTTACGAGCGCAAGATGCCGGTTGTGTTTTCGACTGATTTACGAATCGGCAGTATTTACTGCATTTAATTATTAAATTGCGTTGATAGATAGATATCCACTTTCAAACGAAGAAGATCATACTAACGATCCCCTTAAAACATTGTTCGTTGGGCGATTAAATCCAATAACCACTGAAAGTAAAATTTTTGCATTATATCCAGAAAGAATATTACTGAATAAAAAAATTTTCTCTGAAATTCTGAAAAATGCGTTCGAAAAGTTCGGTACAATCAAACATATTAGCTCGTAAGAAATTTAAGCAAATTAATTTGGATGAAGATATGGAATCATAATTATGACAATAGTTACAGTTGTTTCGCGGATATGCTTTCATTGAGTTCACACATGAAAATCATATCAAAAAGCCTACAAAGTAAACCCATTCATATTATTTTGTATTGCATAAATCTATTTGAGTATTGATCGCATGTAGAATTCCTATAACGAAGTCGCACGATGGAGGGTTGCGACTGGGTGGTGGATTTGGGGAAGAAAAGAATCAGGGCACTTCGATTCGGTGCAAGAGGCCGACCATTTAAGCGACCTCTGTAAGCTTTTTTGAATTATATAAAAAATATTCATTTAAATTAATCATTTTAACACATTATTTTATTATCCATGTTGTTGGTAATCAGTCATGCCAGAAATTCTTTCTGAACATCGGTTTGACAATTGTTGGCTTCGCAATTTTCAATAGATCAACATCAACATCAACATTTCGTATGTTTTCCAATACCTTAAGGAATCACAGCATAGTAGAACGAACGGTCCAAGAAGCAATTGTTACCAACCTTCAAATAGATCTCATCAAACACATCACCGGGATAGATCTCACCAATCACATTACCGAAATATATTTTATAAAACTCATTACCAGGGTTAGGGCTGCGAGCAAATCATTTTATAGTTTGGGTTTGGAAATCTGGACTTCTTCCTCATTTAGGATAATAACCAACTCATTATATGTCCTATTCTCGGTCAATAGTGTCAAACTCAAAACCAATCAATTTGTTATTTAATGCTATAAATTATTAAACCTTTTGTTATTTTTCATTCTCAAGAATTTTTAAGATCCTAAGTGTGATTTAGTGACTAGACAGGATATATTGAATAAAAGTCCAGATGGTGATAACCAATCAAAATTGTAAATTTTTTTTTTTAAAATACTCAAAACTGGTAAGTGATCTTGTTTTATTGATTTGTCTATTTATTAGTTCTAATTATCTTTAGTAGAGCTTTAAGCCTTTACCACGGTTGGCTCTAGGTTTAATAAAACCTGTGTGCCTATACAATCTCTATTAACAGAAATTTTTTATATCGTTATCGTTACACGATAGAACTTGTAAATTATGCAAATTTAAAATAAAGTACAATTTAATGAAGTTTATTAAGCAATATTTATATGCAATTTATTTGTAAAAAAACCATTTTCACAATTTTTTAAATACTGCACAGGTTGAATCAATGAATAACGGGTACATACCGGGAGACAAATCTCCCGATATGTACCCATTATTCTAAATAACTGTAGCATATCGGTAGCATATTGGTAGCATATAGGTTAG